TATATATATATAAGTATATATTTATATGTAAAATGTATGAATATTGCATACATATATTCGCTAGTTAGCCAAACAACCTTACACCATTACTTCTTTGTAATTTGTGTGAAAGTAGTGAAATATTTATAGCATTTTTTTTAGTTCTCCAAGGGATGTCACTCTTTAAAAATATTAAAATTACATAAACATGCAATTTCTATAAAGTTGATAAATATTTAATTAAAACATGTTCAAGTTAAAATTCATTCTTGTTTTCTTTTTTTAATATTAAACAAAAAAAAAACGATATAATCATTCAATATTCATACAAATTGTAAATTTTGATTTCATAAATATAAAATCCATAATAAATTGAAATATGGACCGCAAGTGTATCNAGTTCTCCAAGGGATGTCACTGTTTTAAAAATATTAAAAGTACATAAACATGCAATTTCTATAAAGTTGATAAATATTTAATTAAAACATGTTCAAGTTAAAATTCATTCTTGTTTTTTTTTTTAATATTAAACAAAAAAAAAACGATATAATCATTCAATATTCATACAAATTTTAAATTTTGGTTTCATAAATATAAAATCCATAATAAATTGAAATATGGACCGCAAGTGTANTTAGTTCTCCAAGGGATGTCACTCTTTAAAAATATTAAAATTACATAAACATGCAATTTCTATAAAGTTGATAAATATTTAATTAAAACATGTTCAAGTTAAAATTCATTCTTGTTTTCTTTTTTTAATATTAAACAAAAAAAAAACGATATAATCATTCAATATTCATACAAATTGTAAATTTTGATTTCATAAATATAAAATCCATAATAAATTGAAATATGGACCGCAAGTGTATCAAAGTTATTGAAAGTAACTCGCGGGTGTTTAGTAGGGTAATAATGTTGATCGTCATAATAGTGATCATTGCATAAAATGGGGTTAGTTTTCAAAAACACGTATAATATCAATAATATAGAATTCTGAACATAAAATATATGTATGTTTGTAAGTACATATATGTANGATTTCATAAATATAAAATCCATAATAAATTGAAATATGGACCGCAAGTGTATCAAAGTTATTGAAAGTAACTCGCGGGTGTTTAGTAGGGTAATAATGTTGATCGTCATAATAGTGATCATTGCATAAAATGGGGTTAGTTTTCAAAAACACGTATAATATCAATAATATAGAATTCTGAACATAAAATATATGTATGTTTGTAAGTACATATATGTAGGTATGGGTATTCACTTCCCTCAATAAAATTATATGGTTATTATGTATATATATATATTACTCATGCGTACATTTCGATACTTTTGATTGGTAATTGGTGAGCGGTGATTGCTGATTATTTGGATAAGTGATAATTATGGTTGAGTGATCGATGAGTGATAGCTGGTTTAGTAATTGATATTGTGAGTTTCTTGTTTGTCTATTTTATTTAAGCTCTTAACTTTTTATAATCATAAGCTCTTGCTGGTTGCCTTTAATTGTCGCAGTATCTNGGGTATGGGTATTCATTTCCCTCAATAAAATTATATGGTTATTATGTAGCTATATATATTACTCATGCGTACATTTCGATAGTTTTGATTGGTAATTGGTGAGCGGTGATTGCTGATTATTTGGATAAGTGATAATTATGGTTGAGTGATCGATGAGTGATAGCTGGTTTAGTAATTGATATTGTGAGTTTCTTGTTTGTCTATTTTATTTAAGCTCTTAACTTTTTATAATCATAAGCTCTTGCTGGTTGCCTTTAATTGTCGCAGTATCTCCCACGTGTAACAAGGGAAATCGGTTCCCCGAAATGAGCAAATCGGTTGCTATAGAATGCGAATTGGTCGCTCCTTTTAAGATGACTCGAGAAATCACTTGCAAAATAAAAATCTTCGGAAGTTTAGTTTTTAAAAGTTTTTTGTTGATTTTCATTCTTTTTTTTTTTGTTTTTTAAATATGTAAAATATTATTTTTAATGTTTTTGTTCTTTGTTATAAATTTTAAATGTAGAATTTTATTTATCAACTAGAAAAACTTTGTGTCAGTTGACTGTTGACGTTGCTATATTGGTAAAGCAGGGAGACCTGCGCTAGCTGGTATTTTATGTACTAAACTTTCATTGATTCCTTCAGGACTTCCACTTTTAGGGTTTACCATTTGAAATTGCATTTNAAATATGTAAAATATTATTATTAAGGTTTTTGTTCTTTGTTATAAATTTTAAATGTAGAATTTTATTTATCAACTAGAAAAACTTTGTGTCAGTTGACTGTTGACGTTGCTATATTGGTAAAGCAGGGAGACCTGCGCTAGCTGGTATTTTATGTACTAAACTTTCATTGATTCCTTCAGGACTTCCACTTTTAGGGTTTACCATTTGAAATTGCGTTTAAGTTTTCGATGCTCACTAACATAGGGACTAATTTTTGTTCTTTAAAATAATTAATGAATGCGTAAAATTACACACAAAGTATGTTGTTAATTATTTTTTTTAAAAAAGTATTGGTACATTTTTCAAAACAGGATCTTGGTGTTTTGTCTTACGGTAATTTTGATACAATGTTTTTGTTTACTTATTTTTGCAGGTGTTTTTGCAAGAATGTAGTGCCAGCGCTGGTGTTTATGCGGCGGCTTCCTCCTCCTCTTCCTCACCCTTGCCGGTGAGCATCTCAATAAGGGCGGCGGTATCGATTTGGTTCTTGTCGTCGATGATCATCTGATCCCAGGCATCGTCGCACTCCTTGGCGGTGAATTTGTCACCGAAGTTCATTAGTGTTTCGCGGAATTTGTCGCCATCGATGAGGCCGTCAACGTCGAATGATTTGAAGGCAGCAATGACTACATCGTCTTCATCGTTGGCGCCTGCGGACGCCATACGGTTGGCGAACAGCGTCAGCAATTGGGTGAAGTTGATGGGGCCAGAGGCCTCACCCAACATCTGATCCAATTCCTTGTCGGCGGCAATTTTGCCTACGGAATCGAAGGCGGCGCGCAGATCGTTCTTGCCAATGATGCCATCCTTGTCGGCATCCATTAGTTGGAAAGCCTAAGATGAAATCAACGAAAATAAAAAGTGATCTCATTAGTCTTATTGTAACGGTATAAGAGAGAGAGGTTTGTCTGTTTTTGAATTTTAAAATCTTTTTCCCCTTAGGTGTTGAATATTTTACATATATTTATTACATGTGTGACGACTTACTTCCTTGAATTCGGCAATCTGTTTCTGCGAGAAGACAGAGAACACACTGGAACCAGCGCGCTTCGATTTCTTTGAGCCACGGGAACCACCTGACGCTCTCTTCGATCCAGTTGTTGAGGCTGGAGCTGGAGTTGCAGCTGGTGCTGGGGTTGCAGCCTCAGATGCGGCTTCAGAAGCGGTTTCAGAAGTACCTCCCTCTTCCTTGGTCTTCTTCTTCTTAACCTTCTTCTTCTCATCGGCCTGTTAAATATTTTTTAATTGAAAGNCATTTCTTTTGTAGAATTTGCGCCTCGAATCTTTCCATACGCACACATTCTCAGTCACCTTTACATGCCTGGGGAAGTGCATGTGTGCGGCCACACCTTTTGCGCCTCCTGCGGATTTTCTTGGTCTCGGCCTTCGGGTAGCTTTGTCGAGCCACATCGTTGCCACGTCCAATTTTACGTTCAAATTTTCGTACTCGGGCTACCTTTTTTAGTAGCCGTGAGGTGGTTTGCCCTGCCGATTGGTGGGGTGTATTGACCACTTTCATGCCTGTATGCCTTACACATCTCCACATACCAACCTCTGTTTTTTTTGTTTTTGTTTTTTTTCGTTTTTTTTTATGCGTTCACATACGTATTTTTAGGTGCATGTGTCTGTTAGTACGCTCATTTATCGTTGCTCTAGAAAATCTAATTTTAAAAAAATTTCCTGCTCCTCTTCTTTTTCACTCGATCGGACTATATGCACGAACATACATACATTCATATTATTAGCGCATACATTATATGTACATATTTATGTATGCATATAGATACATATGTATGTACAAATAGATTTATATCTGTATTACTTGAGTGTGTATCTTTCGTAATCATGTCGGGACCGACCGAAAATTTCTGTATCAACGAAAACGAAATTTCGTCAGTGTTTTTGAAAGTACAGCTAATAGTTGTTTTTGTTTTTTAATTTTAACTTTTTCTACGCGATCAGTTTCGTTTGTGTTGGTGTTTTTTTGAACGAACTGTAAATTCTGCATCGAAATTGCCTACAATCAGAATCATTCCATAGCACCAATACACATGTAAAAGAAAATGAATTATACATATATATGTGCAGTAATATGTCTGCTCTCAAGTATATACGAAAACATCTCTCAAAACTGTAAATATGTACATTCATAAGTGCATATATACAGTATCTAATAAACGGTATTCCGAAGGAATTTGGACGCGATATGCAATGTGTTGAGTAATAGTCATGCACGTACATACCGAGATATTTATATTATATACAATAGATATATGTATATATATATGTACTATGTATTTATATGTATGAGGCAGGCCGTACATACATATGTACATACTTACACACTAATGCCTGAGGTAAAGCATTGTGCTATAAGCAGATTTTCTGCACTTTCGAATACTTTTATTTGACTGAAACTCAAGATCACATTCTTTTTGAAATGAATATAAATACATATACATATATGTAGTACATATGTATGCACATACAAACCTATTTAATAATATTTAGCCTCATAAATGTTTTTAAAAATATTTAAGATTAGAATTTATGGTTCCCACTATTTCCTTATTTAAGGCATAATTAACAAAAGCTTCTTTTTTTAATAATTAGAAGTACATATTCTTTTTCCTGTATGGTGCTGTAGCCGCCTAATCGATTTTGGCCAAGTTAAAGAAAATATGCCAGTCGGTCCTCTTCTGTGCCAACTGACGCCAACAGGAAATGTCAAGTAAAGCCAAGTCCATCTCCACTTGGTCTTTCCATCGCAGATGGGGTCTCCTCCTTCCTCTGCTGAAACCAACGGGCTCCAAGTCCATTCGAACGATATGGCCAAGCCAGCAAAGCCGCAGTATCTTCAGCTCATTCTTACAACGCCGACGCATAAAGGCCCGTAATTCCATTACATACTTATCAATGGCCTACTCAGTTCAAAGTAGCAATTGGTGACTTGGGAGATTCTGCGTCGGATTTCGAGGCCGGAATTATTATCGGTGTTAAAGCAGGTTCCCAAGCGAAGGAAATTCTCTACCCTCTCTTGATGACAGGAGATACTTCGTCTTGTCCTCGTTTACCACCAGACCCCTTCGCTTTGCTTCTTTATCTAACTTTGAAATGGTAAAACATACTTCACGGTTCTTATTACCGATGATGTCGATGTAATTGGCATACGCCAGCAATTGCACGCTTTTGTAAAAAAATTGTTCCTGAGCGGATGAGAAATCATATGAAAGAGAGTCGCCCTGCCTGAAAAGCCGTTTGGTAGCAAACGGCTCGGATAGATCCTTCCCAGTTCTAACGGAGCTTGTGGTATTGCTTAACGTAATTTTACACAGCCGCATCATAAGCCCCGGCATAAAGACAACTCGTTTTAGTGCAGTCGGTCCTATTCTCGCGGGTCTTTTCCAAAACCCTGCACATAAAAACCTTACTAAGTATATTGGAAGATTTCCCCAAAAATAATTTTAAAAAGTATTAAGTCTTTAAGCTTTAGGTTACATAGGCTAGGTTGCAGTGGCTGCTGGTGGACATACCAGCACACTTAAGTCCATCATTGAGCCCTTTGTGGTACCGCACAGGCTCTCGTTAAACCCCTCCCGCCTATCCTCCTATACAAACCCGAGTGTGGAGATGGCAAATTTGAGCAATTGCCTAATCTTTATGCCCGCTATACCGCTCAGGTCTCCAATAGTTCCGGCACCCATACCCCTCAGTCTGCTCCTTCCCAGTGCAGGACGTTCACAAATTAGGTTCCTTACTGATTCAGGCTCCTCCTCATCTCTGCAGCTCCTGCAGAAGTCGTTGAATGGCAGCCCGAGTCTCTCCACGTGCGTACCTATAATGATGTGACTGGTCTTAAAATATACGTAATAAATTATATAATTTCGGTAGAAAAACCCCAACTCTTTAGGTTTGGCAACCTAATATTTCTCCGATGTCCATATCTTTCGAACACTGCCGACTTAAAAACTTCATATATTTGTTTATTTCATTAGCTTTTATAGCTTATGGTTAATCATGGCTAAATTAAATTCGATCAAAGCACTGATCGGAGTTAATGCTGGCGAATCTAACCAAATGCTTGAAGAAGCTTGTTTTGCATATATCTGACAGTTTCGTGCTGAAATTTTACACAGCTACATATGTTATCAATACCGAACTTATGGCGATAATGAGAAGGTATAGGAAAGAGGGGCGTGGAACCTCCCATATAAACTGAACTTCTCATATTGCTAATGTCCCGAACCGCTTATGCTAAAGTCCTGAAATTTTGCACAGCTACATATGTTATCAGTAGCATACTTATGGCGAGAAGTGGCAGATATTGGAAAAGGGGGTGTGGTACCTTCCATACAAAATTAACTTCTCATATCGCCTATCTCTGGAACCGGCTTATGCTGACGCCCTTAATTTGAAACAGCCACATATGTTATCAATACCTTACTTTCAGAGAAAAGTGGGAGGTATTGGAAAAGGGGGCGTGGCACCTCCCATACAAACTTAATTTTGTCTGACTTAGTAAGACTCAAAGAAACCAGTTCATAAATATTAAGACGAACTGTAATAGTAGCGAATTGACCACATCCGTCCAAGTAGGGACAGGGTTGGTATATCATGGGCTTAATTTGAACGATATTCAAGAGATCACACGACTCATTTAGCCAATATACGGGAAAACTTTTCATCCTGTGCGGCAGCGAGGATCCTTGCCCCTTATATAGCAGAAAACACTAAGCTGTGCTCTTATGTTTCCTTATAAGGACTTATATTGGCTTCCGCATGTTGTAGTTGCAAGATCAAAGAAGATTATGCACGCTTGGCAGAGATTTCACAGGTGGAAATAAGACCATCGGCAAAATTCATGACATCGAGAGGAATTAGTATTCCATATGGCATCAAAGCGCTACTATTTTTGGCATATGTAAGAGGAGGATTCTGCTATTTAGTTGCTTAAACTTTTTTACTTTACGTACCGTTTTTGCTTTTAACGCTAATTGGCTAGTATGTGTACATATGTTTTTATACTCCTGCTACCACCTTGCATGAATTCACCTTGATACAATGAAAGCAAAGCTCACGAGTTGCTACATTTTTGGGCAAAAACGTGTTCTTGGTCTAAAATGGAGGCACACTTGTGGAATAAAATTCATTATCTTCAATTTCGTAAAATTTGAAAAAGATACAGAAAGTAAATTGATAAAAACGTGGTAAAAATAACCACTAGTGTTCATTAATATACCCATAGTTGCATATGTAAAGTATACGCCCCGTAGCATCATACGCAGTCATCTAAAAGCTCAGTTAGTCTAGACTTAATTTCCGTAACTGAACTTAATATTTTGGCCAACCATTTATATGAGAAACTGTGTTGGCGGTTAGTTTAAACTTAACTTACCGTAAGAAACTTAAGAACCTGTAGATTTTAGGTTCTTAAATTACGGTCTTACGGAAATTGAGAGCGGTGAGAGAATCAGGCTTGCCAGACTCTCGTTTTTGTATTTCTTAAAAATAAATGAAAGCACACTTTTTTGTTTGCATGATTTTTTTTATGTGTTAAACAGCTGAAAAATAAAATACAAGAACAAAATATTTCCGCTCTTGGCTTAAGTTAACGTGTGGAGTAATCATTGATGATTTCTTACGGTAAGTTAAATTGAGTTAAGTCTAGACTAACTGAGCTTTAACACGTTCACTCGCATGCCATAACTTAAAAGCCATATTGTTTAAAAGTAAATAATTAAATATTGGCGTGGGAGAGAGTATTCCTTATGCACATATATGTATGTATATTACTTTCTTCATGTATAAAACAACTTTTGAATGAATTTCGAGTTTGCCAACAAAAATTGTAAAAATGGAATTTTAGTTTCTCAGATCATAGTCATCTTTTATTCAATGTAATCTTTTTTTCATTTGGTGACGTACTAGTTTTATTACACTAAATTCGTTCACTTTAGCAAGAAGTACATTTTCACCGTTTATTTTAACTTTTTGAAGTACAGAAAATCATAAAATGCCGAGAATTACGAAATAGCTGCGACGAAATTTCTGTATGGTGCCATTTGTTATTAATTGTGTGGTAAAGTCTTGAAGCTTCACAGATATGTTTTATTCGATATATTGTAGATTCGATTTGAAAACTTCCGAAAGTTATTAAAAACAAGTAATTTTTAAGCAAAAAACAAAACCGAATTCAATTCTCACATACAAATTTAAGAGTGAGT